GGCCCGGCGGGGCCGCTGGCCGTAGGAATCAGCGAAGGCTGCCAGCTCGTCCATGGAAACGGCCGGCACCCCCGTGGCGAAGTTCTTCCGTGACAGCATCTCGGATTTGGAGCGTGGCTGGCTGCAGGTAGAGGAGGAGTGGGTCAGACGGTCAGTTCCTCCCTGGAGCTCGAGGCAGAGCTCCAACATCACCAATTGTGTCCCGGGGCTGCGCTCAGAACACCTCGGCCTGAGCCTCAGCCCTGCTCCAGGCTGGATGAAGCATTCCAGGCTCCTCTCTCACCCCAGAACGTCAAGTGGGGGCAACCTAGTCTATCCCACTCGTGTGCCACGCATCAAAATGGAGTCGTGTGGACAGAACATATTCTGTGTCTTATGGAATACCAACACACTGTGGGGCTGCCTTCTGGTCATTATGTTGTGACCTCTCGTTGACAGCCACACGTCTCCAACCTCAAAGCCATCGCAGGTGTCGTCAGTACACACAGTTATGGTCCCAGGAATCCCTGTAATGTGTGGTGACACACAGAGAGGCCTTTTCTTCCCTTAGAGCTGAGGGCCAATTTACCTACTGGGGCAGGAGGGGAGAGGGACCCTTGCAATTTGTAAGGGAAAGGCAATGTCGCCTGTCTTTTAAGGTAAAGGACAGATGAGTGGTGAAGGTGCTATTTAGGGGGAATAGCAAATCTTAGCCTCCCACAATTGTGGGAGGCCACATCACCTGGGTAAGTGCCTTAGCACCTGGAAGTTTCCATTTTCCCAGTTTAAAATTGGGGACATTAATAGTAGCTGCCCTTTAGAGTTATGAGAATTAAATGCAAGAGAAGTGTTTGGCATTTTATCTTTCATATACCAAATGATCAAAAATGAGGGAGATGGCCAGGCATGATGGCTCACGCCTGTAATCCCAGCACTTTGGGAGGCCAAGGTGGGCAGATCGCTTGACTTCAGGAGTTCAAGACCAGTCTGGGCAACATGGCAAAAACCTGTCTCTACCGAGAAAAAAAAAAAGATGTGAGATGATGGGTAGGATTCTTTAGAGGTTATAGGATAAAAATATGAGAAGGGCAGAGATCTATTAATGTTCATTAAAGGGTCTAGGGGACCCATTTCAAAGGTCTTGAATAATTACTTCTACACGTTATCACAAGTGTTCCCTGTCTTGACAAATGTGAGATGTTCAATATCCTGTAGAAAGAGAGATGCGTCAGGATAACCTGGAATGGGAGACAGAGATACTACTGGATGGCATCTTCCTTGCCTCCGATCTACCCTGCTTTCCAGCTCCTGCCCCCTCACACCGACCAGACCTGCCCCTCACAGCCATCACCTGTGCCTGAAGCTCTCTCGATCCTCTTTGTTATACTCCATGGCTGAGGGCCCGCGGCTTGCCCCACTGCTGCCTCCCATGACACCTGACCAGTAGTCAGGATTGCTCTCCAAGTCCCCAGACACAGGGAACTGTTTGCTTCTCATCTGACGGAAAGATTGGCGGAAATTGCTGTCCTCCTCATGTAGGGAACTGAGTTCTGAGATGGTGTTGTTATCTGCAGGGACAAAACCAGGCATCATAGAACTTTCTATGTGTTACTCTGTGTTCGACAGGAAGGGAATCCTGTTAAGGGCTGAGAACCTAGGCTGCAGGAAACTCCCGCCTCATTCCTGTCCAGGGTGGGTTGTAAACCTGAACTCGTGGTGTTTGCATTCTTAGCTCAGTAGGAATTGGCTCCAGTTTGAAGCCTACTTGCTTATAGAGAGGGAGGTTCCTACATGCTCTGTTCTTGGAATAGGAGAACAAGTTTGTTCTTGTTGCACCTAAGGCAGGCTTTCCAGAACTCAGGCTCTCTGTTGCTGGCCTCCGCCTAGTAACATCATCATCCTTGTTCAAATGTTTTCTTCTTCCTTTATAGTTCTGTGATGAGCTGTGTTGATCCTAGGCATGTTAAGCCAGAAACAGAAAAAGAGAGACAGAAGCCACAGATCGCAGCATCTTCCTTACTGCTGGCTCAGTCCTAAGATGGACCTTCAGAGCCAGTCCTGCCATATGCTGTGGAGGCACCGCGTTCTGGCCTCCTTTGGCTGTGCCCCTCCCCAGAGAGCAAGAAGTCCACAGAATAGTTGAATAGTCAAGGGGAAACATGTACCTAGTATCCATATGCCCACTGCCTTAGCCCATGCTCATCTAGGAACCTGGAAGATCCTGCTCAAGTAGCACCAAGTCTACTTTCAGCACTTGGGCAGACCTCTTCCCCTCTCCCAAAAAATTTTTCCAGGGGTATGTGTCCATGAGAGGCTAGGCCAGCATTTTGGAAATATGGGAAGAAAAGGGGGTTGTGCTGTACTTATACCTGTGGGCCTCTACTTATACTCTGGCCCCAGCCCAAAAATATAAATGGGGTATCTAGTCACAGCTTTCTGATTTCCTAAAGTGGCCTGATTAGCTTTTCGCAAAAGCAGTTGTAAACAAGGACCAGAATCACAGTCTGGAAAGGAAAAAATAAACAAAAACTCAACTATTTATTTATACAACTTTGAAATGTATTGAATTTCATTGTACTTAAAAAATAAATCTAGTGAATCTATTTGCAATGTAACTGAATCCGTTTGTTTTCTAAAATCCTTTAATTAGAACTTCAAAATATTATCAGAAACAACATTTACCAAATTTCAGGCCTACCTGTTGAGTGAGAGGGGGGCCAAGATAAGATGTGGAAATATGTGTCTCAGATTCCCTCTACTTCCCCCCCTCACTATCCCCAAGAGTCCTTGGAGGAACAGGGGATTTTTGCACAAAGATGAGGGAGGGTCTCCCAACACAGCCTCCTAGTTCTGTTTCACCAGGGACACGGCGTTTACCAAGAATGCCATTCAGTTTAATCATGCAATCAGTTGATTTTTAATTATAATTTAATTTTTAACCTTTTCTTCCATGTAAAAAGAAGGGACTATGCCTATTTTAAGGAAAATAACTCGGATACTATTGATTACTAAAATCTAGAACTTTCCCTTTCTCATGATCCCCATGAATTCCAATATCCCAGGGATCACACAGAAGAGGCTTTTAAAATGTACCAAATGAGCCTACTGAAAAATAGCATTGTTGGCTCAGAACTTTCCTTAAACTTCAGGGAATACTTCACTTTTTTCATTTATCTAGATAGTGAGGACGATCTATGTTTCACTATTCACAGTGATGGACTGTCTAAGTTGTATGTTGTGCTAAAATTTCTGCCAAGTTGAACACAAACATCAACCTGCCCCCATATCACAGACATCCATAATGTAACCCTAGGATAGGGGTCAGCAAACTTCATTTTGTTAAGGGCCAGAGAGTAAATATTTTAGGTTTTGCAAGCCATATTGGCACAACTATTCAATTCTGCCACTGTAGTATGAAAGCAGTCATAGATGCAACATAAGTGAATTGGCATGGCTGTATTCCAATAAACCTTTATTTATAAAAATAGGAAGTGGGGCTGGGCATGGTGGCTCATGCCCATAAAATCCCAGCACTTTGTGAGATCAATGAGGGAGGACTGCTTGAGCCCAGGAGTTTAAGACCAGCCTGGGCAACATGGCAAGATCTTCATCTTTATAAAAAATAAAAAAATTAGTTGTGCATGGTGCCATACGCCTGTGGTCCCAGCTACTGGGGAGGCTGAAGTGGAAGGATCCCTTGAGCCCAGGAAGTTGAGGCTGCAGTGAGCTATGTTTGTGCCACTGCACTCCAGCCTGGGTAAGAGAGCGAGACCTTGTCTCAAAAAAAAAAAAAAAAAAAAAAAAGGAAGTGAAATATATTTGGCCCAGGAGATATAGTTTGCTGAGCCCTGTACTAGAACTTCCCAGACTAAAAACATCCCCCAAACAACCCCCACATTTAGAAGGGCAAAGCAAATGAGGACCATACTGGCTAGCAAATTCATGAGCCTGGACCTCAGACTCAATTCTTACAGAATCTATTACTCTCCTGCCCCAACCTGAAACCATGAGATCCATTTTATAATGAGATTTCAAGATTGCCCACTTCCATGATTCACCCCATGGTTTACTATGTTCTTCAGGAATAGGACTTCTCAAAGTAAACAGTATTCCTGTTTTATCTCTATGCAGTTATAATAATATTAACTTGCAGGTTCCAGGAGATCAGGGTTCCAGTTCTGGCACTGGCACTGAGTACTGGCGCCTGTTACTTTCCCTCTCTGCCTTAGTGAAAGGGACGGATTCAACAACCTCAGAATCCCTTCCAGCTCTAGCATTCTAAAGTCCTATTAGCTAGAAGGCTGTGGTCTCTGAATAGAATGGAGCCATGGAGCCATCCACAGTTTGCTCAAGAGTTTCTTGTGGAAAGAGCACAGGACCGGGAATCAGAAGAGCTGGAATCTTGTACTAATTGTGTCACCGCATCCCTAGGTTTCTGTTTCCTCATCTGCACACTACAAAGGTTGACCTAGGCCATCTCTAAGACCCCCTTCGACTGTAAGAGTACCTTATGACCAGTAAGCCCCTAGAGGCCATTTTAATTGAGTAGAGAGAGAGGAGACATCACCTAAACCAGAATTCTTCCTTTAGTTTTAACCTTAGCTGGTTAACTTTTTCTCTGAGCTGTGAGATTCGCAGATTTCCTGCACAGACTCCTCTGTGGTCCCTGACTCACTCTGTCTCTGGCCCCTTACAGGGATCCATGACAACATTGTTACAACTAGCTTGTCAAGTGCAGTGACATCTGCATTCCTGACATTCCAATCTGGAAATGGTCTTTTTATAGTCGGTGTGGTGGGAGGATACAGCAATGGATACAACGCAGACAGGATGAATTTAGAATTGCAAACTGGGTGGAATATGTTGTCCTTAATCTGAATAAAGCTCCTCTAGTCTGGGACTGTTTCCCCAACAATTCCGTCAAGTCTCTCGTTAGTTCCAAGAAGAGGAGGGTAAAGAGACAGCGTAATGACCTCACTTCCACACCCGCCAGCACCCTCTGATAATGAGCTTGTCCATGTGGGACCTGCCCTGTGTTGCCTCCCATGATACATGATAAGTTGGAATCCACCCCAAGAATCAGCTGTGTCAGCTGCAAAGTATCCAAGGGCTGGAGCTGAGTTAAGGGTTGGGGCCCGGCCACTTCAGACTTAGTATTCAAAAAGTTCTTTTGATAAGAGGAGCAGCCTCTTTGCTTGCCCCTTAATCTCTGTTGTTTGGCATCTTTGAGAAGCGACAACCTCTTTTTTCCAGATTCATGTGCCAGACTTGTTCTTTTACTTTCAGGAGGCCTCCTTGCAGCGAGTTGGTGGTTGTGTTGTCCAAGGTTAGGGCCCTTCACGTTGGAAAAAACTGATACTTAAGCTTCCACATTTTAAGACATTACTTTGAATATATTTTAAAGGGAGTAGAAGGGAAAGACTATTTTAATAAAGCATTCCAAACCCCAGGATAACACAGCCCCAGCAATACTGACTGCCCCATGGAGAGAACCAACACAAACCAAGATGCTACCGAATTGCTCTATTCTTCATACCAGAAGGCCTGTTTTTCCCCTCTGTGTACTGAGAGCTACTTTCTTCAGTAGTGTCACCAGTACCCCTGTTAATTCTAAGCCTGCAAGCTCAGGGCTATCCAAGTCTGGTGACCCCCAAATCCCCTTAACATACTAACTCCTGCATAATGCACAGATCACAGAAAACTAACAGATGCTCACATCTGCCTCTCATCCTTCTGGCTGGATCAAACTGAGCCAGCTCCTTCTCAACATAGTACAGGACCTTCATGGAGTCTCTCTCTTTGTCAGTCTGGATCCGGTAACCTTTGCGAACTGTTGAGAAAAGCACAAGAAGGTGAGCTGAAAAAGGAAAATATCAGGAGAAGGAGGCCTCCATTTATTTTACCAAGTAAAAAATAGGGTTTCTAATTATAACAACTCTTGTTGAAATCACCCAGAAATAACAATCTATATTTATACATATGGGACCATATCTGTGATCCCCTTTATCAGATGGCGCCACTGGAATGGAGGACCTAAAGGTCAACAACAAAATTCCATTACAGTCTATTTTTAGTCATTTGTTAACCTCTGCTTCCTATCTGTTGACCTCCTACAGCTCCACGTAGCGCTCATCTTCTCAATGCTTTTGCGTTCCATTGGAGGAGTGTATTCACACTAAAAAAAGACCACTTTCTAGATTGAGGACATGTGTCACTTTACTGTCTGAGGATCCCAACTTCACTTTGTGGGAGCACAGGTAACTTACAGATACTCAAACATCAAGGACTTTGACAAAGTTGGCCTGAAAGCTTTGAGTTGCCTAGAAGATAGTGCAAAAACTCCTGAAACTGAGTTATATATAAGAACTAGTATTAATTTCTAGACCATATACATAGTAGTACAAAACAAAATTCAAACTATGTGGATTTTTAATTATGGTTCCATTTTATTTCTTCAGCATTTTCCTTTTAGAAAAAGGAATACTGTATTTTAGACATGATTAATTTGACCTGCTGCGATGTGGTTACAAGCAGCTGTTATTTTCAGGGCTTAATAAAAAACAAAACTAAAGCAGGAGAGAGAACAACATCTCCTACATCCCTATCACTCATATTGTCAGAGACAAAGACTTTTAAGCCCCATATCACTTAAGTATCAGTCTAGCCCAATACCAGCCCCAAGAGTGATAGATACCAGTGGGCCTAATGCACAGATAAGAGAAAGAGGAAAAAAACGAAAGAGAGAAGGGAATGATGGGATGGGTATTGAAAAACAATGGTAATTAGTCAGTACTTACTGGGCACTGAAAACGTGTTAGGTACTGTGCTAAATGCTTTACATGGACATTTGTTCCTCAGAACCACCTGAAACAGCACTATTATCAACCACATTTTATGTTTGAGAAAATTTTGGGTCAGAGGGGTTTCATAACTTGCCCAGGAAAAATTTAGCAGTGCCAGGGCTGGAACCATGTAGTCTGATGGAAGCTTAACCATATTTGGGCATCTTGCCTCTCTAGAGTCTAGGAAGAGAGGTAGTAAGAAGAGAAAGGTGAGAAAGACAATGAAGGAAAGCCCAGAGTAAGAAATGCTTTAGCTATGCCATGGCTTGTATGGTCTGCACAGCATGGTCCTATCTTCCAGCTATTTAGGACTTTTCAATGGGATATAAGCTAGTGACCTAACTCCAACATTCCCTGTTCCCAAAGTGGGGCAAACACCATAAAGAAACCATATGACTGCATGTAAATCCAGAGAAAACCCTGCTGTCTAGTGTCTGGCCACGTTACCCTGGCTGCGGACAAAGCCCTCCCACACAAGCTATTTACATGGAAGATTAAAATATAAAATTCCAAACCACTCTAATTGTAGTCCAAGCACTAAAAACAGAAGTCACCCACACACCCATTTGCAGGTGCACTGATTTTCTATATGAGAATATACTGGGCAGTTCACATTCATCTCAAATTGTGGAATTACTTAGAAAAAAAATTAATGAATCTCAGTACACACTTTTTAGTGGCACTTTCTCTCAGAGGTTAGATCCAGAATCCTTGCGTGGAAGCAATGATTAGCAGAAATACTTTTATTTATCAAGCTAAACATTCTTCCATCTCTACAGAGGCATTTACTGAGTTGTACAGACAGTTCAATTAAAATGCAATTATCCCACGGAACTGCTATGTTTGTTCTGAAGGCAGTTATGTCTGATGGATGAGGCTCTGGTCTGGGAAGTGAGGAACTGGGCGTCATGTAGGCATGCTGTACTATTTATTGAGGGGCCTCAAAGAAATGGTGACCTATCTAGGACTCAGTTTTCATGTCTATAAAATGCAATGAATACTTCCCAACCTTTAAATAATCTCTTAATGATGAGAGGACAACTAAGACTAAATCAGTGGAGCACTTTGGGTTCTCTGTCATTATCAGGAGCTGCTCAAATACTGCCTCAGCCAAAGGGCTTTCTTTGATTCTCATAGCTTGAAAAGTTCTCTCTCGCTAACTTACAAATTATTCAGTTTGAATTTTATTATGGCCCTTAATATATTCTAGTTTGTTTCAAGTTATCTGTATAAATGTCCAATTTTCTCAAAGATTCTTGAAGGAAAAGAATCCTTATGGTTCTAGATCTCCATGTGCCTAAAACCATGCTTTACACATAGTGGGGAACTTAAAAAATGTTCGTTGCGCTGCTGTCAGCCTGGGAATCGGGGCAGGGTTAATGGTTTCTTTGAAAAGTGCATTTTCAGTAGAGTTTTCCTCTCTAGACTGCAAACTTCCTGAGAGCAAGGACTAGGTTCACTTCTGTATCCCTAGCACCTAGCATAGAGCCTGGCACATTGTAGACATTTGAAATATGTGTGTTTGTAATGAATGAAGGAATGAGTGAATGAATGAGGAGAAACTGGGGATAGAAATCATAAAAGATCATAACATATAGCAGATGAGGCCATATGGGTTGTTTATTGGAGAATTTTGACCAGGAAGGGAAAGGCTTGGATCGTAGAAAAGTTTAGGTAAGTATCATGATGATGATGATGATGATTTTTTAAGGAAAACTAGCAGGTCTGTAGGCATTATGAAAAGGGCCTACCCTACCTGCAGCTGTGGTTTTATCGAGGTGTTCTAATTTGTGAAGCACTGTTATGGTAAACATTCAGTGATACTGAGCTAGAGGTAATGGGGGAGGGGGCCCATAAAGTTGTTGCTACATGGAACAATGTACCAGCTGTGCCCTGGTGGAGAGAGACGGTCGGTGAGAGATGGCTGCTACCCTGAGAAGCAGCTGGAGGATCCTCAGTTAATTGCCACTTGGACTACAGCATAGTTTTCTATGTCATTATAACAAATTACACTCCTCATTATGATACAGATTTGATTGTGTATGCAGAGGTTATCATGTCCCTGAAAAGTTACAGTAACCATTTATAGCCTCAAATGAAGATGATGGTTTTGCCTTCAGTACTGGCATTATAAGGAAACTCCACTGTACCAGATACTTTCAGCCTTGACTTCTTAGTCACAGCAGCCATGACTTCAGAAATCTAAATTCCTCTAATTTGTCAAAAAAGACGGAGGCAACGTATTGATCTTGTGACTTTAGGAGTATCATCCATTTGGTTTCAGTAGTTAAAAACCTGGGCAACCCTCCTTTTAAAAGCTATTGGACTTTTTAAAAATGATAAGCTACAAGTTCAAATACACTAAACTATTCTCTGATCCTGGTAGAATCTGGCTCTATGTCACATATATTCTGAGGAGCATATGAAACACCAGAAAACCTTTCCTGGTCCCTCCTCTCCAAGGATGAGATTTTCCTTTCTGAGCTGGCATCATGGATCAATCTTATAATATACTGCCTTGTATTACTACTCTTTTATTTCCACTTACAAGCCCCAGCAACCAGCTGGTAGACTGTAAATTCCTTGTGGGCAGGTAAAATTTGTAGGCATTCATTAAATTTTTCTTGATTTGAAAGCAAATAGCATGGTGTCAAATTGATTTTTATCTGTAATTTGTCTGAAGATCAGAGAACTCTCTGGGACACATGGTGATGTTTTAACAAGAAATGTCCTAGAGTATTTAACAAGAAATGTCCTAGACTATTGGCCAAAGTTCAGCATATTTGGAAAATGACTTTTTTTTTCCCCAGTGATGTTTCAGTTTAAGATCGATGGATGATTTATCTGTTTTCAAGTTCAGTCTGGCCCAAGTCCTGTGGTTGCTGTGGCTCTTCATACATACTTCTCCTCCTCTAATTTATTAGCCTTGCCAACTTCAATTTTACCGGAGAGGGGATATTGGGATATTCACTTTGATGCCAAACTATAATTTTAAAAATTCTTATTGCTGAAGGATTTTCGCTGAAACTTTTGACCCAATTAAGGCTTAGGAAGTTTTCAGCTAATTTCCCCATTACAGCCAAAATCCAACTTGTAAAACTTGCAAAAGAAGTCTCTGAGGCAGATACTCATGGATACAGCCTTGTTCTTCCTGTCCTATCTTAATAAGCTAAGTAAAGCTGTTTATGGATGATGGAACAGCTGCCAGATTCCACCCCCAAGGTGACAGCAGCTCAGCTGTGGGAGAAGTGATTCTTAAAATTTGCATATTCTCTGTGTACATACAGTAGGCATATATATAGATACACATCCTTATTAATTTTGAAAATGACATTTCAAAACCCTACTTGCCTACTCAATTCTTTTGCATGAAGAATGGGTGGAGGACAGGTAGATGTGGAAACAAAATGGATTAGAGCAAAGCAGAGTAGCTGTGGAAGGACCAGGTGGGAGATAATTGTGTTAGGCAAGGTGGGAGGTAATGGCAGCAAGGACTAGGACAGTTTCAGTAGAGATGGAGGAAAAGAAACTAACTCAAGGTTATTTTGAGTTACAATCTAAAGGACTTGGTGATTGATGAGGGATGGAAGTGGGGGAGAAGGAAGCGATAAGGATGAAGTCTCTGCTTCTGGTTTGGGCTAAAAGGTGGACAACAATGCCATCCACTGAGATAAGATATGTAAAAGCTGGTTCAAAGTGAAGAAGCAGCAGATTAATTCAATTTCCTAGGGGCTGAGGTTGAAATGCCTACAAAACACCCAGGTGGAGAGATCCAGAAGACAGTTGGATATATGGTATTGAGGAGCAAAAGAGAGGCTGGAGATAATGATTAGAAGTCATCAGCATATAGATGATGACTGAAGCCACAGGAGTGAATAAGGTTTCCCAGGGAGAGGACCTCAAACAAAACAGGAACATCTGGAGGATGCACAGTGGAAGAACACCCAGCATACACAGAGATAGGTAAGAAAAATTACAAGCTACAGTACTGAGAAAGGCAAAGGAAGATGAGCGCCTCAGAGTGGCAAATGCTTTTGAGAAGTCAAGGGAAGTAATAATTGAAAAGCATCCATTAAATTTAGCAATCAGACAATCTTAGCAAGAGCTGGTTTCCGGAGTGGTGAAAGCAATAACAAGATGGAAGGGAGCTGGGAGTTGGCAACAGCAGAGGGAAAGGAAACATTTAATATTCAAAACTCTTTCAAAGAGTTTGGCTGTGAAGAAGAGTAAAGGGACAGGAAAGCAACATCTGAGGACCACAGGATTTTTGTGAATTGTTGTATTTTAATGGGAGAGACTTTAGCATATTTTGAATGCTGACAGGAAGGAGTCACTAAAGAAGAAAAGAATGGAGATGTGAGGTGGGAACAGGGCGGAGTGTGGGTATTCAACAAAGAGAGAGCCTTGACAAAGCTGAAAGGGATGGATCCAGAGCAGTACAGAAGCAGGCAGTCTTCTTGCGTGGTAACAAGGTCTCAAGCAGCTGCCATGAAGAATGTGAGAAGGAACTAGAGTGCCTCTTACCTCTTCCATTCGGGAACCAACTGGCTATACTATATATAGTTCATCAAAGATGCCCTTTTCAACCACACAGTGTTCAAAAGACTATTGTGTACAAATGTAATCTGAAAAATTAGTGTTGTGAAATAATTACCCTAAAATTTAAGTAGCATATAAATATAAAATAGGCTAAATTGACATTTTTGTAAATTAACATTTCTTAACATTTGTAATGTTCTTTAAAGAATAATCTACATGGAACACTGGCATCAGCCACCTTGGCTACAGGAGGACTAGCCAAACACCATCACTAACACTCCCCATGGGACCATGAGTACAGAAGCGTGCCTGGTGAGGATCATGAAGACTGTCCTGGCTCCACCAGCCAGACCATGACAGCATGGGCCAGACTAGCTGCGGTGACACTGATCACCACCCTTCCTCTTTTTCCTTGCTAACAGAACCCTGATTTTGTTCACTTCCGAAGTAAACAGTTGTTTAGGCCTAAGGGGTGAGTCTTGAGTAGTCCAAGCCAATTTTGTTTGTGAATGGGCATGAGCCCAATTCTTGCCGATAAAACTAAAAGGGAAAGTCTGCTGGAAAAGTTTTTCTCGCTCTTGAAAAAAGTGGTACAAGGAAGAGAATACCATTTTCAATCTCTGAATGTGCTTAATTACCCGGAACTATGCAGTCATCAAGAGATCATGAGGTGAGCCAGCTGAGGAGGATAGGGGATGTGCTCAGGATAACAGAACAAAAGACAGAAGAAACTAGGTCCTTCAGGGCTGCTACCTGAACTGTTCTATTAACCAATCCTGGAACTACCTTACCTTGACATTTCTTGTTATGTGAAATAATATATTTTCCTATTTTAATGCCACTTCTAATTACAATTGGTTAGCATGGCAGAATGAGACCAAAATGGTTGAACTGCAACGAAGAGAAACTGGGGAAAGATAGAAAACGAGAGAGAGCAAGTATTTGCTATTCTGTGAATATAAGAACAGTTTTGTTAGATAACTCATTAAATAAAAAATAAGGGGGAAAGGATTCTGGTGGGAAGAAAGATTAGAAAAAAGGCAAATAAAGAGTATAAGTTCCACTAATATCTCTTTTGCCCACTTCATCTTTCATGGAAATGGACTACATTGTCTTTATTTCTCTAATTCCCTGTGTGTCACTGATCATTAACTTTTACTTCTCAGTCTGTGACTCATTCTGTATCAGATGTCAGAATTCTACTGATAGCTCCTGGGAGAGAAAAATACAAATCCTAATTACTCGCTGAGGATATCCACTCATTCTACAATCAGGCACTGGCAGCTCATTAGGTGGGCTAGATACCCTTCCTCACTTCACAATAGAGGCAGTCCAGATACCTCCAGGGAAGAAATGTCTGTTTTACCAACCCTAGCAGCTCATCTACATCTAGGGATTTAAAAAATCACCTTCTAAATGTATAGCACATACAATCCTAACCTTCACTACCCTGTAATCCTGTTCAAATGCCTCCAGAAGAGCTATATTTTAATGCCCCTCCAGCTCTCCACCCTACCCTGCCCCTCCACCTATACCTCCTACCTACCCCTGCCTATAACCACAAGTTAATAGTGCCTCAAATGGGGGTAACCTTCAACTAAATCAGCTCTCCTTACTACTTATTTCAATTCCGTCTATGATCTATGATCTAGACAACTTGGGGTCATCCTAAAGCCTCCTTTTCCTTCATTCCCTAATATCTCATTCTTTCAAAGTGTCTCTCAGCTTTACCCACACATTTCACTTCCATTGTCTCCATCATAATCTAGATGCTCACATATCTCAACCACTTCAACCACACCTTAGCTCATGTTCTCTGGCTCTACTGTCTCCCACTTGCCACTCCCTTTGTCATGGTACCACCTCTGCCCTCAGGAGTCTGCTCACAGTGGCTCTCACACCAAGTCCCAGATATTCTGGAGGAGTTTCAAGGCCCTCCCCAATCTGGCTCCATCATATCCTTCTACCTTCTTCCAGTCAATTTGACAAACTGGACACTGTCACATACTCACACTGTGTTCTCCCAGCTCTGGGATTTCATCACGCTGACCTTCCCACTTCGGGTGCTCAGTATCCCCTGAATGTGCTTTCCTAAATCCTATTCATTCCTCTATGCCCAGCTCAAATTTCACCTCCTCCCTGAAGATTCTGTAACCAGTCCAGCTCTTTCTTCTTTGAACTGATGGTCTTTAGCATACTCTTTAGCATCTGATTGTCCTAATAAAGGTCCATTCTCTCCTTGACCAGGCCATGCTGCTTGTCAGAGAAACCATGTCCTACACTTCTTGCAGGCCCTCACAGTACTAGTGGACTCCTGTAGGTAGGGATGAAACAACTATTTGCTAACTGAATAATCAACATTCAAGGGATACCTTGTCTCTTTTCTTATAGTTTTAGTAATTGAGGAGCCTAGGGAGAAGGCAGGGGTCAGCAACGTCCTGTAGCCCTTGGAAAGCATGACATGTACCCCAAAAGATATCTGACATAGCTGGAAGGATCCCATTTCTGGAGTGGAGAAAACTATTTTCCAAAGACACATCACTGAACTGACTGTTCTTAACAACAAGTAACCACTATGGGGGCCCGAGAACAAGCATGGGGCAGGGCAGTCTGGAACTACATTTACCACTGTGGCTTCCTCCAGTGGAGTCACTTGGTGCCAAGGGAGGTGGATGCGGCTTGTCCATCAGCATGCCAGATGAGGGGGCTCCTCCCAAAGGGACAGAGGGGATGGAGTAAGGGCCAGGGACACCGGAGACAGAGGGAGGGTACCCGGCCTTTGCTGCTTTCCCTGCTTCATACACTGTGGAGGGAGATCAAGAGCAAGAGAGATTACGTTGTCCCACCCTCCACAACCCTCACACCAAAAATCCCTGAGGATGCACTTCAGGGAGCTCCTGTATGTGTGTATGTGCATGTGTGAGTGTTTGTTCTCCTAGAACTGAACTGATTAATCAGAATCACTGTCCCCCACTCCCTTGGACTCCTCCAGCTCCACCAAACAGCAACGACATAAGGAATTACTGTGTTTAGTACCTGGCAAGTAAGTAATTAAGTGGTTCTGGGAGCTGTCACAGCAGGATCCCCAGTGATGGCAGCAGCCCACTCTTCCTCACACTGTCTGGAGGCTGCCTCGGCCCCTCTGGAGGCAGCCTAGCACACGGACTGCCCAGGGCTGCTTCAAGGAGGATCCTGAACTTTGTCTTGAGAAGGAAAGCAAGTAATGGGCTTGCACATGGTCCCTGCTCTGTGATTTCAAAAGCAGAGCAAATAACTTGATTCTTCCTAGAAACTGCTTTATTCCTGAAGATACTAAAGATACCTGGTGTACCTCTCTCTTTCAAGATGTGTTTGGTTTATGGAGGGGTACCAAACTTAATGTCTATATGGTCTTGGCCAGTAAGGTAAAAATTGTGACTCCTCAAATGAGAACTAGGCCCTATTGTAGCCCATGTCATCATGGGAGTACATAAAATAAATCTGTGGCAGGGTGGGTGCCCAAAGGCCACAGTTTGCACACTCTTCTTATATAAAAAGGAGGTTCTCTGCATGGGAAAGGAATGACCAGAGAAGGTTTCCTCTAGTTCGAATGCCTCAGGGAGAGAGAACAGCTTTACCCCACAACCGCACCACGCCAAACCTGTCCTTCCATTTTATCAATAGTGTCCATGAGAATTCCAAATGCATGGAGTGATAGGTATGGATAAGAATTGTGGACAGGTGTACGTAGGTGAACAGGCAAATGAGAATGGTCATCCTTGAGGCCAGGGGCATCCAGCGGAGAAGACTCTGGAATGACCAGTCTTGGGGGTGGCAGGACAGGAGGCGGAGGAAGAACCCAGCGCACAGAGCTGTCAGACACAGGTAGACATTTCTCTCGATTGCTCTGTCTCCCCACCGGTCATGTACTCACAGGCTTGAGGGCAGCAGCAGGACTCTGGGCAGCATGGACAGCGGACATAGCAGCAGCAGCTGTGAGGGCAGCACTGGCACCAGCAGATCCCCACCAGGACGAAGAAGAGGAAGACGCCCAGGAGCACCAGGCCAACAAACACCCACTCTGGAAGGATGCACAAAGAAATCCACACTCGAGGCAGCCCACCTCCAGGGCAGGTGCACTCTGATTGGCATCTCCCAGTGAAAGGGGGAGAGGAGGGGGGACCTAGGGAAGAAAGCATCTCTTAACAGGAGACAGAGACCCAACACTCAAGAGGAACTCTGAGAGTGAGAAGTGCAGACCCTCAGTCCAGAGGAATGGAGAAGAGGGAAGAAGGTTTTCTATGTTACACTGGGCACATGTAATAACTGGCACAAAACAATGTGGGGATTTCAGAGTCCTATACTGGGGAAAGGATTTACACTACTGACTGTAGCATCAGAACCAGGATGGGACCAGAGCTGAAAGAATCCTGGCTGAGGGGAGGGAGAACCGTGTCTGTTGGGCTATGAAGTGGTGGGTTCTGTGAATACTTTTTTTTTTTTTGTCAAGTTAATCCTCTCTATAAAAGTCTAAGTCCTGAGGAAACGGTCTCTATGTCTAGGGGTCTAGATGTAGTTTATAGTTAGGTGGTTCCAGGCCCCTTATGTAATGTATTCACCTGCTTTCCCTGCTGATTGCCCCTAGAACACCTTTCCTGTACTCAGCACCAGTGCTGAGATCCAAACCTTTTGCTTATACCAAGACAATAGTCCATGGCTAGAGAAAACTACAGACATGGCCTCCATAGAGAAGACACTGTCCCCATGAACAGATAATGAGTTTGGTTTGATCACACTCAAGCTGTCCATACTAGGCAGCCAACCTAGCCAAGGGCTCAAGTGGCTCTGAGCTTGGATAAATGGCAAGGCTGACATGTATATCTGGGTATGTTTGTTAACTCTGCCTCTTTCACAGCTCTGCCAGAAGCTGAATGTGAACTCCATTTCATTTGCCCATCCAAAAGATTAAAAGAAAGGAAACAAATTGCAAGTGGCTTAGATAAAAATGACTATGGCCCTCAGGCGACTTGTCTCAGCATCATACTTTAGAGACTTGGCTACAGGACCCAACTTCCCCCTGCAGACCTGGACAGACTGGGGAGAGCCATGCTTTCCTTTAAAACCAAAAAGACTAAAGCAATTCATTTTGGTTAAAAGCCATCTATCCCAAATCCCTTTGCAAATGAACCTCAAGCACACATTGTTTTTCTTAGATTTTGATTACTAAATATTCCTTCAATTAAATGGACATTCAGCTGGGAGCTTGAGAATATGATATTTTTATTAAATAATGGGTTGTATAATAATGGTTAACAAAATGACTTTGTTTAGAGGAAACAAACAACATGTTTCCTGAATGTCCCTCCTCACTAATCTTTCTGAAATACATTCTTAATTTGAATGGGAAGGCCTTGTGCCTGGCTGGAGTGGCCTGGAGAGCATTCATGCCAAGGACAATCGATAGCAGAAGATTTGGCCTAAGCCTTAGTAACAACACAATAATGTAATGTAGCCTGAGATAGATATGAGCTCTTAGGTTTAGATGAGCTGTATGAAGTGGTGGCTACTACTTGGGTCAAGCAGTCAAGGATAAGATTGGAAAGTTATATGTGAGAAACAAAAGAATATTATCTGTGAAAGGATTCTTGGAATCAAAGGGAGGGAAATTTAGTCCTATATGGCCAGCTAGGAAAAACACAGTAACCCTTTCTCGAGACTGGGAGATGTAACAGCCTGGGAGATGTAACAGCTAGTTTCAAGCACTGCAATGTAACATTGTTTTTGTGATGAACAAATGCTTACAAATGGAGGGAATTCTGGATAAAGGGATTACAAAGAGGCATACACTTGTGTCCTTGGGAGCAACATCAGTAAAAAGAATGTCTGTGTTTGGGTTGGTCACCTAATGGAAAGGGACTAGAATTCATAGAAGAATAATTCATGAAGCTCAATGGTGAAGACTCTGGATGTTTTTAAAAATTTGAATTAAGCTAAAAACCAATACCCAGGGATATTCTGTATCTCTGTTGCTCTTAAAACTCTGGCAGAAACCCTCCAAGACAAGACTAAATCATCCCTTTTCCTACTGTTTGAGTTTAGATATGTTCTTCCCCACAGTTCATTCTTGCTCCTCTCTGTGCCTCCCTCAACTGCAGACCATAAAGGTGCACCAAACTGATGTTGGCTTGTCTAGGATGGTGGATTCAACTGAAGGTACATAAAAAGACAGAGATGCATATTTGTCCCAGATGTCCTTCACATATGGTCTGTGGACCTGTAGGGACTCAAAGGGACTAGTAAGTCCCTGAAATTGTGTACAAAGTGATGTAGGTCTGCAAATGTGTATTTTTCAAGGGAGGAGGGGTACATAGCTTTCCTAAGGTTTGAAAAAAAGTTTGATGATGTTATAAAAAGCAATTCAGAGTAACATGGTTGTACAATAATGAATCGGTAAACATATAACTTAGGAAATAAGGAAGGCAGATAAATACTGATTCTATTAAAAATACTTTTACGTATATGGGTACAGCTGAAATACTGAAATGGGCATGGAGATTGCCAAAGAGCCTGCATGCCTGACACTGAAGGACTGGGTTGCCATCTCAGCCTATTTTTAATTATCATTATTCTTTTAAGGCCTAGTAACAGAAGAAATGCAATTTAAAAGTCCTTCCAGTGGGTTTAGTTAATCCTGGAAAAGATCAGAGACATACAGACAAATGTGGAAATAAATTAAAGAAGCAATTAGTGACTAATGCAGAAGCAAAACAGATGGAATAACAGCAAATCAAGCAAATAAAGAGTTAAATGACCGAATACCTGGCATAATCTCCACAGCAAAACTGGGCAAGAGATCAGCAAGCAGCCCTGTCCTGCCTAGAAGAAGTGGAAGGAAAAGAAGAAGGAAAGTGGTTATTCCAAAGGAAAACATAGCCTAAAGCCTGGTTCCAGTTGGTACCATCCATACGTGGGGCCATGAGTGCATGCTCTTTGTGGTATGAGAAGCACATCACCAAAGCTAGGCTGAGACAAGAGAATGACCTTCTCTCTCAATCTCCGGCAGCCATCTAAGTGAACTCTGCACCTAAACTAAGCGGAAGCAGAAACAGAACTTTCTCTCCAACTATTTATAGGAGGAGGAAATCTCTGCTTGAGCAGACTGTCATACACTATCTCCATTCATTTATACATCCGTCTCCATACACTTCATTGGAAAGTCAAGCCCGTCTGTATCCAAATGTTCAATCTACATTTTCATACATCCATACACAGTCCTATGTCCATATAAAAACAAAAGTACATATTTGGTTTTAACTCAGAATTATCTCACTACATGATTCTATTTGTGGCCTAAAGATATTTCAATGATTAAAATTTTCATAGGCAAGGGAAAGATAAAACTAGATCAGTTACACATTCCTCTACACTCCTTCTGGCTTCTGAAATACACTGTACATATGTGGATGGTATGGCTTTTCCATATGGCACCCACAGCTGGCATTATATGGACCCAAGTGCCTTCTGCATAATATGGCAGAGAAACTTAAAAGCTGGAGTTGGAACAGGTGCCCCTCAGGGGCTCTGGGAAGCAAAGAGCTGTGCAGGAAACAAGAGGCTGGAAGATGTAAGAGAGCAGATTAGTCCATTTTAAAACTAGACTGATTTACAGAAAGACATGATGAATGCTTTCATCATGTTCTCATATCAAGGTGAAGTCCTGTTATGAACTTCTTCCCCTGATATTATATCTCTACCACACTGAAGCCCTGCTAATAAACTAGTAGTACTGTAAACAACTAGCAAATTTCCCTCCTTTCAGACTTGTGATGATGGTGAAATGTCACTGTAGCACCTAAACATGCAACTAAATTCTACTTCATTTAGGTACCTGACATATACCTCTAGAACAGCACCATCCAACAGAAATATAATGCAAGCAATGTGGATAATTTTAGTTTTTCTAGGCAGTACAATAAAAAGTAAAAAGAAACAAAGGAAATTAATGTGATACTATTTTTAGCTTATGTAACTATCACCAAAATATTGCCATTTCAAGAACGTAGTAGACACATGTTGCTATTGGACAGCACAGCTCTGGCAATCTGTTTCATGCATATAGATATGGCTCATTTATAAAACAACTCCTTCATATTAAAGTTTGTTGAGGTGCATTAGAGAAAAGGTTACTCATGTGTGTGGTTCATATTTTAAATCTGAAGTCATGGTTGGTCACTTGTCCCTTCCTCTATCAAGCCACCCACAGAAAAGAAGCTCTGACAAAGGTCAAAGAAAAAGGGGCTCCTCCAGGACACTAGGGGAGTATTCCGGAGCTGGGGCAAGATTTAGTGAGTGGAGTAGAAGGGTCTTTGCTCACTTTTTTTTGGCTCTCCTCAACTCTACAAGGCCAGTGTGGTAACATGTGTCCTAGTCTATGTGGGTGATGGTCCCATGTTTAAAAAAATAATGGGGACCAGAGTATATTCCAAGGTAAGGAAGTATGGGATGGGTGACTTAGGCCAACTCTGCTTTTGGCTTTGGCAAATACAGCTTCCTTTTTTCTGTCCTCCATCTCATGCAGCTGACGTGGTAAGATGGCTCTGCTGCTTGCAAGGTCTCTTGGAAGGACAAGTAGGAGTCAAGTGGGACATTGGAAAAAGGTGTCTTCTCAGGCTAGTCTTTGACCTAAGCCTTCATAAAAGACTAAGAGGTGCCCCTAAGGCTTATGCAGTTCCCTAGCGTAGGAAACTAGTACAGATTTGGGGCCAAAGTTTGAGAAAGTGATTAAGAGACAGCATGCATTGGTCTCCTCTGAGTGTTATCTATAAAAATATCTCTTGGAAACTCAACAAGGTAATAAACAGCTAGTCAAAGATTTGGGAATTTGGACTCCTGGAGATTTCTTAAAGACCAGGCAACAATCAATGATCAAGAAGTCAATATATACTGATTTTTAAAAATCCAGTTATCAGATATGTACTTGATGGTGGATTTTTATTGTTTTTTTTTCAATCTGCATAATTAGCACTTGTAAATATGTATCTTGGTGTATCTTGTAAAATCAGAAACTTTGTTAGTGTTTACTCTCCACTTCTCAAGACTACCAATGTTTTAAACATCTCTGGATATGCTATGGTCCAAATCATTACTTAAATTCATGATAGAAATGTCATTGATGATATAAGCTACCATTTGTGGGCTCTCATAGCAAACTGACTGTGATAATTAACTATAAAAATTCATACATTCAAGGAGGATGTGGTGCTCATACATATTATATAAAGCATGTTATATTGGAAAAAGCAGTGGACTGGGAGTCAGAGTACTTAGGGCAACTTTATCATTACCTCACTTGGTGATTACTACAGGCAAATTACTTTCCCTTTCAGGGTCTCAGTTTTTTCATTAGTAAAATGAAGGGGTTGAATAGAGTAGTTTATAAACAGAAAGACCATCTATCTTAGTTTGTCTAGGACAGTTGTAGATTATGCCTATGGTCCAGGTGTAATTTTTATTAGCACCCCTTTTTACTCTCAAAGCATTCTAGTTTGGACAATTAATTATATGGTCATTCTACTTATATAACTTTTAGTTCCCAAATCTGATACTCGGTGATTGGAGTTAAAAACGCAAATGTCTATGGGGACCAGCAGGTAATACAAATGAGTACAGCTGGCCAGATGTAATACAACAGGGAGTAGCTAGAGATGTTATTAGGAGGCTGCTACTAGTCACCCCTAGCCACTTGTGCCCCCATAGAAATGTGTCTTCAGTGTTTCAGATCATCCTGTTTTTCAATATTTTCCAGGCCCCAGATTTTATGTGAAATATCTTGATTTTCAAATGTTGGCAATCAATTATTTTTAAAACACTGGGTGAGCCATACACAATATGTCTGCAGGCTGTATAGAGCCCAGAAATCATGAGTTTGCAACCTCTGAAGGGTATACACACACAGATAAATTTATGGGATGGTAAAACACAAAGCTGCATTTCCCCACAGGCTGTTTAGGTTACCTTGAGGGTGTTCTAACATTATTTCCACACACAGAATGATAGTAAATACAAGATCTAGTCACCTATGTTCAAATTAAAATTGGAAACAATAGTATTACGCACCAAATTGCTAGCCTTTCTTACTTCTAGGGAGCTAGAATGGACATCATGGAAGAACAATGAAGGAACTTGCATTATTTTTTACTTTAGACTTTTTTACTTTTATTATTGAAAAAATTAAAATAAGGAAAGGGTGTATCAGACATACGGACAGGTGATTCACAAAGCTTGTCACTCCAACAGGAAGACATACATCAAGCTTCTCATTCTCCCTGAAGCAACAGTCAATAGCTGATGCTTCAGAAGGTGAAGCCTTCCCATAATGCACCTGTGTAGTGTTAGCCGCAGGGTAGTGTAGGTGATATGTGCAGTAAAGTGGGCGAAATTAAATATCTTCAGAATTCAAAACATAGTAGGAATTTTGGGAGAGCAGACAATACCAATATATCATGTCAACAGCAGAGACGGTGCAAAGCTCTATAGTTTTACACCATTACTTATATTTTATTGGAGCTAAAGGCATTTTTAAAAGTGGATTTATGCTGGAATCTTATATTTCTGAAAATATTCCACTTCCAGTTTCTTCCCTAACAGTTCTTTAAAAATGCTATTGCTAGTTAGAAATGCTTTATCTTTTCTTCTATCATAATCAATGAAGGCCTGATCTTAGAGAGTCTAAACAATTGCAGTAAATACATCCCAGATTTCAGCAGCACTTTACCAACACTTGTGAATCACTATCATTCTTCCAGGATTCAGTTTAAGAGTGGCAATTACAAGTCACTTTAATGTCTGAGGAAAGGATGGAAAGCAAGCCCTGCAAATAGAAGGCCACATTTATACTCTTTTCAAACCACAGCTCAAACTATCAGTGGAAAATACAGTTTTTATGTAAGCACTCCAACAGTTTTCCCCAAACCTTGCAGAATCCATTACTTTTAAGAAATTTCCACATGAATAGACCAAACGAATCAGGCATACTAATACTTTGTACATGCACACACACACAAGTGCCAGTTTCATATCATACTGTCACAAACTCTAGAGCTAAACACATTCACACGCTTCGGATTAAATGATCAGGATAGAAACATGCATTGTGAATAAAATAACTTACCTATCTTACCTATAAAATTCCCCATTTCAGTTGTTTTCTGCCACTGCCACTGCTGAAGTTATCCTCAGCTGAACTCTTTGTACACATTCCTGCAAACCAGCTCACGGTTGGAATGTCCCTCATTTATTCATTCATCATTCATTCATTCATTCAACAAAGAAATTTATATTTAGCTAGGTGGAGACACAGGGGACAAGATGTGTTCCCTTGAGACACTTGAGAGGCTCACAGTCTAGCCCAGACAGAACTCAGCTTTAGTTATCTGCTTCTGTGCTGCAAGACCTATTAAATCTTCCCACCAAATTTATTTTCATCAGCCTTCTTTGCATTTTTGACATCAGGTTCTGTCTGGTCATGGGACCTTTCCCTAGAGACGTAGTCCTTGCCTGGTTTCCCACTTCTACTCAGAACATTATCTTTGCACATTTCACAACAAATCATGTCCTAGTGGCATTTCCCCAAGTTTTTTTTTACACCTTTTTCTTGGTAGGTTAGCCCCCTCAAAGCAAACTTTACTTACTTTCTTTGCTCAGATAAACATTTGAACTGCTTTGTTCAATTCCTTACCACATAGAGTCCACAAGACTGAGATATGTTCTGACAGAGCCCTGTAACAATGCTGCACTAAGAAGGTGCTTCCTCATCCATGCTCCCTAGGACCACTGCACATGCCTGCACTAAAGCACTTATCTCGTGGCTGCAGTGT